AGGAGAAAGTACCTCCTCTACGGTCGAAAGTAATGATTGTCCGGGAGCAGACGAAACTTCCTTCAAAGTCACAGAGTGACTCAAAGATTTTTTGCCAAAATGGAGACAAAACCAAAGACGTGGTTCACCAGTAGGCAATGATATTGTATCGCGCAAAGAAATGATGAAGTTATTGATAACGACCTTATTGAGAAGCTCCGATCCCAGCACTCGTTCCATAGAAAGTGCCGTAATTCACTACAGGCGTTGCAGATCATGTACCGGTTTGAAATTAAAAACAATTTATCATCCCTCGATTATATGAACTTGGAAGGAAAATACCCTGTCAGCAAGAATGCCTTACATACTGAACATAAAACAAGTTTCAGAATCATGTAATAATAACATAGGAATAATACTTATATATACCAAAACGTAGTCACGTTATAAAAACAAAACCATTGCTTTGACCATTGCACCATTGCTTTGATTGTGCTGATCTCCAAGTCCAACCCGTCGCACAGAAAAACAGGACATATTTGTGCAGACGGACATAATTATACATTTTTGGATGTATGTATTGGATAATATACACAAACAAATATGTATAGTATTGATAATTTATTATATTAGTTACTGCATATCTGACAAGGATCCAACAATTATTTATTTATTTATTTACTTATTTATTTATTTATTTATTTATTATAAGGTTACATCGCTCCACTAAAGACATCAATCAATTAATAGACTTAATCAAACAAGCTATTTCAAAATTTTCGCAGAGATGCACAAAGGAAAGGATTAAAAGATTAATAAACTATTTAAAAAGAGATTTAATTGAAGAAGGTTTAAAGAAACCTAAACCCTTAGGAGATTACGAGAGAACGACACAAAAAGGATATAGTACCTCCCTTTATCCTTTACTTCCTTCAAAGTCACAGAGTGACTCGAAGATTTTTTGCCAAAATGGAAACAAAACCATAGCCGTGCTTCGCCAGTAGGCAATGATACTGTACCACGCAAAGAAGCGGTGAAATTGTTGATAAGTTATTGAGAAGATCCAATCGTAGCAGATCACGTACCGGTTTGAAATTAAAAACAATTTATCATCCCTCGATTATATAAATTTGAAAGAAAAATACCTTATCAGCAAGAATACCTTACATTCCGAATACAAAACAAGTTTCAGAATCATGTAATAATAATAATATAGGAATTATATATACCAAAACGAAGTCACGTTATAAACACGAAACCCGCAGTAAAGAGAGTACAAATGCAAAAAAGGGAAAATAGTGGAATATCCGGGAGCAGAGGATACTTCCTTCGAAGTCACGAAGTGACAACGATTTTTCCCAAAATGGAGACAAAACCGAAGCCGTGCACCGCCTTTAGAGAGTGATACTGTACAGCGCAAAGAAAATAGAAAGATATTAATCAGGACCTTGGTAAGAAGCTCCAATCCCTGTACTGGTTCCATAGAAAGTGCCTTAATTAGCTATTGCCGTTGCACATCCTAAACAATGCCATGAGGGAAACACCGAGCCAGGCGCTGGTAAGTGAAAATATCCCATATCTCCTTCATTTTACACTTCAAGAACATGCTCTGCACCATTGTTTTGGTTGTGCTGAGCTTTAAGTCGAATCCGTCCCACAGAAAAACAGGACATATTTGTGCAGACGGGCATAATTATACTGATGAAAATTATGTAATTAAGGCGGCGCTGAGAGAAAAACTATTAGAGTTGGGTCATTCATTAAATAAATCGCAAAAAATTCAGCAACAACCATTACCGTAAAGTAAGAAAAAATGTAGTTAATCCCTATTTAGACAATTTAATATAATAATTCAGTTATTATGTTTGTGACTGAGGTGCATCGGTTGAACTAAATGAAATGAGTGAGGAGCATAATTGGTACTCAATTTGGAACAGTATGTAATAGTTACAATCTGTAAGATCTGTGAGTGTATTTGAGAGACCATTTTAGGCATCCACTGTTAATGAATGCTTCAAATTGAGAAAGACTAACCCTTATTAAATAAACGTGATAGGAAACTACACGATAAATAAGAAGTGCCTTATATACAAACGAAAAATTTTTTGAAGCGGTTGTTTTTGCTCCACATTTCAGAAACACCCTAGTATCGCATTCCGATAGAGGTGGTAGAAGTGAAAATGTAGCTAACTATTTTTCTGAACCAAGCACGACATTACAGACAATAGTCGCAAAGTCCACGTGAGCAATATAAAACTACCCATCAGTGATTGCAGGCTACCCCATTTTCCAAAAACACCCGACAAAGAAGTTAATGTACTGCATACTTGCGTACTTGAACAAGGGAAGTACTGCTACTAAGCAACCGCCCCCTCAAGGACAATATACGTATAGAAGCACAGGGCCCAACCGCCCCCTCAAGGACAATATGCGTACAGAAATACGAGGCCGGTTCCAACCGTTCACGACTACAAACAACGATGACGAAAACAACTTGGGAGAACCAAAGTATTGTTAAACGCTGTTGTAAAATTCGAAGCACCATGAAAGAAATCCAACTTAATCCAATGCCTAAGATGCTGCTGGTATGGGCGCACAAAGAGTAACTGTACACGCCCGATGGGATGTTACATTTGTGCAGAGACGCGACCACAAAACATGCAACAAACAAAAAGGTGATGGCAATGATATGCGATATGCAAAGTGTACCAAGAAATAGGCGGTAGAATCTCGAAAACTCTAAGTTCCAACAAAACATCCCTCAAGAACAAGAAGACCCCAACATGCCAAAACCCAAACACCAATACAGACAAAACCAAACCGATACAGCACCAAGAATACTAGAAACCACAGCAAGAACAACATCCCCTTATGGCAAAACCGCAAAACCTATACTTCACTCAGCACACCTCAAAACTTCCACCAACAACAAAAACCAAAGTATGCCCCAGATAACTAATGTCAGCAGTATCATCACTTCCCTACAAGCACCTACAACAAACTCACCAATCATGCTATCATACTCCTTACAACAAAGATTTTTATTATGGTGCTTGTAACTATGGACAAAAAAAAAATATTACAACAATGTATCAAATACCTGCAAGTGAAGGAGCATGCAGCCCTGTACACTCATGGGTACACAGAGAGAGAAATGATCTACAATTTTATTGAATATCAACAAGTGTTACGTTATTTGGTTTTCCAAGAAACATGTGCCGTTGGTACCAAATTACTATCTGTGTAGTGAACGACATTCTGGACCCGAAATTGAACTTCTAAGGTCAGTATGATTACATTATTTATTTATTTATTGTCTCTTTTGTTCTAGGCCCTCAACAGCCCAATTACATCATGAAGATCCATACATCGGTCATAGTCTTAAAAAGGAAACTTGTCGACGCCTCGTCATTATTTTATTATGATCATTATGATGTAGTAACATGTTCACCTTAAAATGCCACTGGCGTAAATAAATGCTTATTATTTATGCCTTTAGCGGATTCCAAATTTCGTACCCAGCGCCTCAAAGTACCACATCTACTGTGACGCCTTCATACACCCTAGTAAGCGTCAATGGCTTTAATCGGCGCAGCTGTGGATAGCCTACACACATCATTGGATATATATATATATATATATATTATATATATTTTTGTTAAAAACTGTTCATTATAAATAAAATAAGTGGATCACATGCAATGTGTTCGATTAAAGGAATTCGTTTCCCAATGAGATGGGTGGGGACCTTTACAATGAAGTAACATCAACATTCAGGAAAAGTGGAAGGAAGTCTTTGTGAATTTTTCGAATTCTGTAACTTTTCTCTCTTGGAATAAGCTGTTATTAATATTATCGACCAGAGACAAACAATTTATGATGGTGTTAGTTTTCTTCTTTAATGTTGGGGTTAGTATCTCTCTTTAGTTCTCTTAATGAGATTGTTATATTTTGTTTAGGAACGCGTGCTTGTTTCAGAGTATACGTAACATTTAACATTGATTTATCGGCTGCTTCAGAGACTTTTGACAGCGATTTCTACATTAGTAATATTTTCCATGGAATAATTGCTCTTTTTTAAAATATTAATTGCGTAGTTATCAATATTGACAATTGGCCCCGAGAATATTTCCCACTATAAATGTTCGGAAAGGGTTGAAGACTCGATTTTCGTAGGAGAAAAGGCGTTAGTTTCGAAATGGGCTAAATGGTAATTCAAGGGATGCTTTTCTTATGAAGCAGCCGAGTTAAATAATAGGTTTATTTTACTTTCCTTCTATTTAGCAGATAAGCTCCTATAATTTATTTACTGTATCATGTAAGTGTACACGAATCTCCAATCAGATATCCAAATGGTGTGCAAACCTGCTAAAGAAAGCACTTTTAGTGGAGTCCATTTGAAAGTATTAAAAGACAAAGAATAGGAGCGATTGAAGCTAATGGACGTGGCGCTAATGAATCGACGTAATACATATTCTTATTATGATTACCAACTGGTAAACTTAATAAGGGCGAACGTGATTTAAGTCTCTATCTAGGGCGCAATAATGAAAGATCTAGCAAAATCCGCACTTCTCGTAATGAAACTGAAAATTAGTCATTGTTTTTTATTCGCTCCAGCTTGTATCTAAATAATTTAGTGAGAACCATCACATCGGGTTTCTTGATATAGATTAAGTTCAAAAAGAAAAAGTATTGGCTTTAATTGAGAGCCTTCGCAATGATTTTTTTGCTGCGAAAGCTTTCCAAAGTGACACAAAAAGCTTAACGAAGGAGGCGTAATTCAATTACGTCACTACGAAAAAAATGTGACAACTATATGTCTGTCATTTCTGCTTGTCGTGCCCTAATTTCCTTATGTCAAATGAGTGGTGGCATGCCCTCTTTGTAATATTTGTTACAGTGACCGTCGAGCTTTTGGCGTTCAGGTGGCGCTTCTGCACCGACGCCCTTCGACGCCTCTACGACGGAATCAGTTTTACGCGAGCTATCGTTTTGGATAGCATACATTCTGCGAATAAGTTTCGTGTTTACGAAGCACGTGTTCATTAGAGGACAGAATATTTACACAAGGTAGCTTCTGATTAATCTGAAGTGGTGACTGTTTATAAAAGATGAGTGGTATGTATTAGTTTGGTGTCGTTTCACGTATAGTTTTGCGCTGGTCCGTGAAAGCCGTTGTTCCAAATGGATTGTTTCCCTTATAAAAGTAAATTTTAACATTCGGATTCTGTTCTGTAATAAATCAGGCTTTAGGGAGGGAGATATATTATCACGGTCTTCGCGTATTCTGTTGCTAATACAATTCTCCTTATTTGTCACAATATCAGGAAGGCTAAAACCAACGGACGAATTTGCCGTACTATTAAAATGTAACCTGCATTGAATTATGAATAGGGACAGCGAGCTTCGAATGCCGAGAGTAAGAAGTAATATATAATTTACAATGACAGGCTAGATGTATTTCGTCTTATTGTTAACAATGCTTAATCGGGGTAAATATTTTAAACTGTTTTCAGACAGTGCTTGGTTTCTTAGATATATTCTTCAAGTTGGGCCAAATCCGATAGAAACTATCTTTGAACCAACTTTAAGTTTAATTCGCTAATCTAGAGGGAAAATAACTAGAGGGCATACGGGTCATGTTGTTGACAGGTTGCTGACGTTTAAGGATACAGTTTTCTTATTTTGTATTCAATCCGTGTTCGTCGCTCGCAGCATCTTTTGGTACACCACAAACTTAAATATGTTTGCCGGCTGCGATATTACATTGTTCCATTAGTTTTCCAAACTCGTTCTTTTACCATTTACAAGTATTTTGAACTCGAGTTTTTATGCAGAAGTAACCGTATAATCCTTAAGATTGCTCTTGAAAAACTCACAGATTTTCCGACGGCAGAGAACTTATTATGTTAAAAGAATTTGTTGGCAACAAACCCTTATAAGTTTCTCCCTAGAGTTACAGCAGGTTGAGAGCGTACGTGCACAACAAAAGTTCGCCTCTTGTGACACTTCATTACCATTATTCCTCCAGACGTCACCTTTGCGATTATTTGGAAAACGCGGTGAAATAGTTGCGCAGGAAACGATATGTACTATTGATATTGCCAAAATTTATTAACTGTAATATGGTCGTAAGTTATCCTAAAAAAATATAGGAGAAAGGCTATTTATTTTCGGTCGATAGGGGTATAACGTATCGGCTATCAAGAACAGTATACTAGTACACAGTTAATAAATTATTCCATCTGTGACGACTACCATTAGGAGAATAACTCCAAATTATTTCAGTTAATGGCACCTAATGACTAGCTTTAGAAGTAAATTAGGCGTAGTGATATATTTTCATTGAATGCTTGAGATTTTGATGTTCCTTTAGAAAAAAAATTGTGAAGGTAATTTACGGCGATTATTATAATGGAATCGTAACATCGTAACTCTACATCATTATCTAGTATTTGTAGTACGATCGAAGGTACGATTTGTTAGTTTCATTTGCGCAATGGACGAATATTCGAAAAGTGGTTTGCTGAAGGGCGTCGAATTGAAGGTGTGCCTTACAACTTCAAGGTATGTGGTCTGAATTTAACCAAATTTTACATCATCCCCAACCCAACCTCTTCTATTACACTGGGGGTGGAGACCAATACATCGGTTTCTTATTATGTATTTTTGATACATTTGAATGTATTAGCATTTTGTTACGTCTTTGTTAATAACATATAATTAAGAGTGTAAGCTTCAATTGCCGGTTGAAAACTCATACTTCAAATAGTATTCAGACAGGAACCATGTAAACCTGTGATTTTTTGGGAATACCAAGATGAATTGGACTCATTTTGCAATTAGAATTGAAATATTGTTTCCTCGACTATTGCAGTACCACGAAAATCTCATCAGATGTAGAAAAATGTAGGCCTTTATGTACTTGAAATTACCCCCTTTAATAATTAAAGGGAAATTTGAGTGCCACAGCGGATTACAATAAAGTGTGGTAACGAGTAACACGTATTCTGTTATGATAAATTTTCTTAGGTAATCAATTTACTTGCCGATATCACTTTCTTCCAATCGCAATCGGTACGCCGCACAGATCAGTCGAGTGTATGTGTATGTAGTATCTACATAACTCTATTTCGGGCTCAGGTGAGCGTTTTCATCTTATCTCCTTGTATTAATAATTAATTTGAGTAAATCGTTAAGCTTATTGCTTTTCTATAATGGAAGATAATAACAATAATATATTTATAAGTAACAGACAATGCACCTACATTCGCGGTGGTGGTTGAAAAAAGCAACCAAACGAAACTCACTTTCCCCGAAAGAGAACAAGGGATCCTATTTCAAGCAATTGGTGGCCCAAAAACGAATATATTATTGGGGTCGCCTCCTTAATTGGGCCCAAACATGTATGTTCGCCCCGCGGGCATCAGATGGAAGAGTATGCATTTACGTATCTAATAGACATCATGGACAATTTTATATATATATATATATATATATATATATAACAACTTCGTCCCCATCAACTTTCGACCAGACTCAGGCTCCAATAAGAGCACAGGAGCCTTCTCCTCCCCATATCAAACGCGCGGTAGCCACGGGGATCTCAACTCCGTGTATTACAAAGTCTGATTCGACAAAGGCACGTCCACTTGCAATTTATAGACCACCAGAAATTAATGTTTGCGAGGACGAGTACCTAAGCCAGTTGAAACAAATTAGACCTCCTTATAGGTGATTTAAATTCACATCATGTGGCTCTAGGGCCCAACAGGGCGGCGGGGGACATTGCACTTAAGTTAGCGGATAGATTAGGATGTGTATTTTTGAATAATGGCCCCACTCGACCAAATGAAATAATATCCGCTATAGGTATTACTCTAGTATCACCAAGCCTGGCGTCTATTGTGGACTGGGAAGTACTCGAAGACAATATTATGCTGCTGACCCAATCCTTATTGAGTCAGTTCTTCTTATATCCAGTTCTTATCGGCCAATATCGCTGTCGTCGTGATGCTTATAATGCGTCAACCTAGACAGATAAACGGATAAACTGGAGAATACAAATATTCCTAATTTATATCGCAACAGAAATGTGTACGTACGGACACCTTCAAACGCCTACATAGGTCCAAGATGAGTTTCCGTGGGTATCCCACAGGGATCTATTATTAGTCCTTTATTATTTAACATATATACGCCAGATTTCTTTCGCTATGTAAAACATGAAATTAATATCATTCCATATGCAGATGAGTTTGTTAAATATTATTCTAACCCCATCATAACTAGTTGTAGAAACCCTAAATAAGGCAATCGTAGAACTTAAACTATTAATTTTCAACGACGGACTAGAAATTTCTGCTGCTAAATCAAAAGTAGATATTTGCTGTTATGGGTTATGGCTTGATGCATATATTTTTTCTTAAAGGCAAAGGATTGGTGTTCTGTCCTTTCGAGAAACTTGTAAAATTTGGTACCGAAAGGGGTTCTTATTGCTCATCGTACTTAATTCGAAATGTAAGGAAGCGGAAATACGTAACGGTCATCCCAAAATATTTTCTAAATTCCCTTCATAGGTATGTATCCACATGACATGGAAAAGGAAAATTATTACAAATACCAAAATTTAATATCGAAAATACTGTACGTATTTTAACAGTAGTACATTTTTCATTGAAAGAACAAGGTTCAGAGCATTCCTTGTCGACTTAACTTTCAAAGAAAATCCTTTCGCTTTGTAATACAATTAACTTACCCTATGAGTGTAACACATAACTAAAGTAAACATAACTTAGATGTGAAACTACCCTGTTTAATTTAGGTAATTCGTTTAGTATAATTTAATATGCTTATCTACGTAGAACCGTATTACCACATTTTGTTTCTGCAGCCCACGTTTTATTTCAAATTTACGTGCAGGGGTGTTTGTTATGTGTCTTACATGCCGTTCATGAGAATGATCTATCGACTATCGAAGGAATATATAGTATGGAAAGACTTGATCCTCCCTCATTTTTCTAAAATGTAGTTTTCGTTTATGTATTGGATTATCAAGTCGATATATAAATAACTGAACTGCCACTGGGAGCCAGATCTGGGGAAGCAATTTGTAAATAATTTTGCGATCGTTTTCAGTAACTAATTCTTTTTACCCATTATTTTACAATTACAAAAGTTGCTGCCCCACTCACAATACTATATATCGCGAACCAATTTTCAAACAGCCAAATTTATATAGGTATCGTTTGAAGGTTAGTACCAAATAAAAAACATGTGGATTTGATTCTAGTAACATCATCTATCTGTCAGCCTGCGAACTTTTCAGCCCAATTGTTAAATGCTTCTAGAAGATTATTCGACAATCTGTTCCCTAATCGATTTTTTATAAATTTCAGAATTGAGAATGAACGTTCACATTCAAACGGCATCTAAAACGTTTTGACAAATTTCACAAACGGCATTTTTAGAAAAATAATCTAACGTCTTATGACATTCACATTTCAGAGAAGTTAATATTTTATCCAGCAAGCGGAAAAATTTATAAATTAGTACAATACAGGAATTATTTCCTATTTGATGACTTTTGCTTTAACTACGGTAATTTCTAGATGTACGAAGAAAATTTCGAACAATGAAAGTTTACAGTCGGATGGAGAAGCATAAGAAATAACAAAAATTAAACCGCAATAAAACTTTAATAAACCGCGTTTCAACAGCAAAGCTGTCATCATCAGCGTACTACAAAAAGAGAAGGCACCTCTATTTACACTAATTACATATAATGAAAGCGAAGGTTTACGAGGTCTGATTGGCTTAATGGACCTTCCTCGTCATTTTTCATTAGGAAACGTTTGTTTATCGGAATGAGATTTTGGGGACAATGAAAAACAACCTGAGTAAAGAGATATATGAAAAGCCTGGCAATTCAACCCTGCTTTTCCAATTATTTGTATTTTTCATGAAGCGTGCTCTTCAGAAAATCGCACACTTCTAGAAACGAGATAAAAAATGGCAGGCAATGGCAATTATTATTTGCTATCTGCTACTTTATACTAAACAATGACTGTTTGCATTCACGTACAAGTATAAGAAAATTTATTTTCTCGTCATATGGC